TTAGGCTGAGGGGTTTCAACAGCAACGCTGTCATTTTTGTGTCTACCTTGCAAAGAAAATAAAAAACTGCAAATGATCCTTGTTAATGTTTCTGGCATCTAAAATGAGTTCATGGATGATTTAAAAACAGAATTATGGATGATTTAAAAACAGAATCAATTTTTCAATTTGGCAGATTAATAGCTACTTGTTGTACACCCTATCAGATTCAATAGGAATAAATATTTCCAATTTTAGGTATTTTTTATAATTTCACTATACTACTTGTGATCATATTGTGATAAAAGTGTCCAATACATATCATGACAAATGGTTACACCCCTGTTCCTACAAATTCAACCGTTCATTAATGACGTCATAGACTAGGCCAGCAGTACACATTTCAGACATTAATTTTGTGGATATCTAATTTATTAACGTTTGCACAAGGAATGAAGGGGATACATGATTCAGTCAGTCTAATCATAAAAAAAAATGTGAAGACAAAAGTTTCCCATCATGAAAATCTGATTAATGACTAATACATGAACATTTATATGGTGATAAAATTATTATTTCTTAAGAAACAACAAAGTATATGCTCTTATGAAAACCATTGTCTCTCACACTGTTTGAAATGGCAAACTCTTCTGGTTTTTAGGAAGTAAAGGATTACGAAGGTTGATAACCCATATGTTGTCAAATTATCCAGGTTGACTTGTCCTAACTAAAGTCCCCTAAGTCATGATGAAAGTTGTTTTATTTCACTTTAAAAGGAGAGGAAGAAAAACGCTTTACGAAAACAAAAATAGTTCTGACAGTATTCTCAGACAGTATGCTCTGGCTACTTTCATTTTTTTCTATAAACATTCTAAGCTTTTCTGTACATTGAGTCAGGTCCCTTTGATTGGCTGAACCAAATGTCCAAATTCAACTAGCCTTGGATCCAAGTTGATATTTAGAATGCACCACCAGGATTCTAAGACAATGAGTGATTTTCTTTGAATTCAGGATTTGCCAAAAAATAGGTGGTTTTTTTTCTTCTTAAACTACAAGAAAAGATATGTTCAAGTTTTGCTGCACACTTTTTTTTAATGAAATTGCTCACTGTAAGGTAATTAATGTAAGGTCTCACTGAGTAAGACAGTCACATCACTTTCTTGGTCTAGATCCAAGTCAGAATTTTGGATTATTATTGGTAGAAACATAATAACAAACAAGTAAAATGATGATGACATTAGCAAGCTCTGAAAATACAATCATTTACCCAAATTGAATATATATGTACTTTTAACCATGGGTGTCAATCTTTGGGGGGGGGGGACCAGGGGGACATGTCCTCCCCCTACATACACCTTTTGAAGGATGGGAGACACAATATCAAATGTTGCCCCCCCCCCCCAGATTTTTGAACTTGTGTGTCTCATTTACAGGGCCCTATCATGTACTACAATGTATCTTTTGCTAAAAAAATATTGGTTGAAGTGTTCAGAAATTGCCTCAGATCGCACCACAGAGCATTTGAATCCAAAATTTTCGGGGGCCTTAAGCGGGCCCCGAACCCCACGCCTTTAGCTCAGAATATAATAGCTTATTCTATTACTTCAACCTCAAAAATGATGTTTAAATTATTATTTTTTGCCAAGAAAATATTTGTTAAAGTGGTCAGAAATTGCCTCAGATTGCACCATAGAGCATCTAGAATTAATTTTTGGGGGGCCCTTAAGCAGCCCTGAACCCGCACCGTAAGGGCATCGTGTTTCATGCCCCGATTTATTCTGATCGAGGTATGTGTCCCCCCCCCCCACTTTTGAGAAGTGATTGACGCCCCTGCTTTTAACACATTGTTGCATCTAAAGAAGTTCTCATGTTCAGAAATGTAAAGTTACGTGAATGCTTATTTACAGAATGGGTTTCAAGTTAATACAAAAATGTCTTCTGTTTCTCACCTTTAACCCATGTTTATATTGTCACCGACAAAATCACTAATCTTTGCTCACAGCTGAAAAACTAAGTTTTGAGAAGATAATGTTTGAAATTGAACAATTTTTCTTTAAACTTGAAAAATATATAACTGATGCAATAGCTGATAAGTTATATAGCTCAAAATTGTCTCCGTTTTCATGAAAGCTTGTTTAATTAAGAAACATAAAAGATATTCATCACTTCATCAAAACGGAAATGTTACGGGAATGTCACAGGTATGTAGCATTGTGTTTGTACACAGATTCGTTGTGTGTGCATGTATAAAAGTTATACAATTTAGAATGCAGATTCTTCACGTTATCAAAATGCAAATTATACAGGCTAAATACATTTAAATATAGTACACATATAAAATCAATGAGACTAAGTGACGGATAAGGATTTGTCAATTTCGCCAAAACGAAAAGAAAAAAAAGTTGTCACACATTCACCTCTTTGTGTAATTAGCCTTATTAATGAACTAGACAATTTTGTGTCTAAACATGTTGGAATTATGTACAATTAGAATATCAAAAAAATCTCAAATTGCTTCGTCATTGATTGTCACATTGTCAAAATGGCGACGATTATGTGCAGATAAATTGCCATACTATTTTACTGCATTCAAATCAACAGCAGCTTGACTTTTTTTCTTTCCCTAAAAGAAAGCTGCGGCTGTCTTTACAGGGAGAGTAAAAAAAAACCTGTGAATTGATACATTTTTTACAAAGCCTTTATCCAAGATTGATGAACCAGTGATATTCAGTTATCAAATTGTTTCAAATAAGTCTGCAATTTGAAAGATTTTTAAATTTAAAATGTCAGTAACAAAAGCAACTAAATGTGACAACTACTAAGCTTTGTACATAATGTATGCACATCCTTTCTATTTTTGAGATGGCTATTACTGTTTGATTCTCAAAACTGAGAATATTCTATCTCATATTTCCCACTTCTTAGAGTAAGATCATCGGTGTTATCACATTTTTATTTGTGAAAACTTGGGCATGAAAAATGGTAGACAATTATAGTTGGTTAAAAGTGTTATACATTGTGAGTGGATTATGTACAATTGTACATTGAGATTTGACCAGACTTCCAAGATGAATGATGCAATATGTGGCACTGGCAACTAACAATGGAAGTCTATGCTTACGATGACCTGTCTGCGCTAATGACCTGTCTGTGCAGTAACCAAGTAATGAGCACTGAATCACTTTTCAGTAAACAAAGAAATAGATTTTTATGTGAACTAATAAGCCAGTGTAGTAATAACATCCTACTTTGTTTACATGTGCACTTTCTAAAGGAGCCAGTGGTGGTCTACAGTCCACTGAGCACCATAGGAAAGCACACACATAAACAAAGTGTGACGTCATTACTACGGTACAGAGGCTTATAGACAGGGGTATACCTTTTTCGATTTTAGTTCTGATATGAAAGGAGATTTCTGATATTTTAGATACCCTGGGAAATTTATGTGCAACAAACCATGCATAAATATCACCGCACACAAATATTGGTGAACCCCAAGCTTCTAGATCTAGAAGCTTAACCCTAGTTACGCTGCTCAGGTACCTTTAGAAAGTCCCAGATACTAATTGGTAAAATAACAGACTTTGGATCTTTGCTGAAATGCCATTGTTGTCATGGAAGCTGCGTTCTCTTGGAGAGATATTCAGTAATTAAAGCAAATGATCATTTCTTCATAAGGAGTGCGTTCAATTAATTCCCCTGTGCTTACTCGTGCAAGTGCAACAGCGTTCGATTTACCTCTCACAAGACTTCTCGCGCTTACTAGAGGCTGGCCCAAGTAACCGACTCGCTGAGCCGGTTACTTGGGTAAGTATCCCATAAGACCATGCAATAAACATGGCTGCCAACATGACGTCCAGTGGGCGCCTCATGCTGTGTCCAAAATGGGCTTCCAGAGCTATGGCTACGTCTATTGTCAGCGTGTCCCTGCGTATTTTCAATGGGCGTGGACCTAGATAGCTCTAGACAGTTGATTTGTATGCAGCCCATGTCATGTCAAAGTTCAACTTTCCAGCTCTTGCACGAAACTGTACCCAAATTGTTCGTTACTTAGCTCCACTGCGCATGTCTGTCATCACGCCAGGAGCCAGGCGCGAGTTAGCTGTGGGAAGTAATCAAATGCACTCTTAGACTACTTGGTCAATCAGCATTTAGCATACCAATACTTATTCAAAGAAGCAAAAGCCTCAATCATTTATGGAATGAACTAAACTATTACCGTAAAGATATGGAACCTCTCACAAGTTGGTCATTCTATACATTTAGGGTCCAAAGTCTGACATTTTTCCTGTCCCTGTAACCTCCAAATTTATAATTTGCCATTCAAGTGGCATTAAAAATGACTTCAAACTTAATAATATTTGCTGGATAGGTCATTTGATTCACAGAAGCATTCTTGGAGGAAGAGTACACACATAAAGGAGTGCATCTTCAATTACAAAATCGTAGATGCCAGACGTATAGGGACAGGAAAAAGTGGACCCCAAATTCATAGAATGTTCTAAATGCAACTTCTATTGTAGTATGTAAACAATCACATATGAGGAAGGCAGAAAAAAATATTTCAATTTACAAATGTACATCCATCATACTAACCACATTTACAAACATCCATGTATCATTGCAGTAGAATGCACAAGGTTTTCATTTTCAACTTGGTTGTAAATGTAATGAAACTAATATTAGTTTGATGACGCACTCGGAAAGCACTGGGAAAGAGACAACCAAGGGATTGCATATGATTTACTTTGAAACTATCACTTTAGTTCAAAATCACATATTTCGTCCAGTTGCTTTTGAGTATTTACTTTTGTCTCGTGTACACGGAGGTGCAAAATCTTTCTCATTTGAAACTCAGTTGTGTTTTTTTTTAACTCACCAATTTTCCCCATAATTGGAAATATTGAATAACAAAATCTAAGGAAATCTTTACATTTCACAAAGGAGTAGGGTTATATCTTATACTTTCAAAACACATCATGCATTGACTTTGCATTTGCTGAGATGAATCCGAAAAACTTGAATTGCCTCTCGTGGTAATATTTTCCCTCTCGTTTTTTAATAATTTTAAAATGTGCAATCTGCCCTATTTGCAAACAATGTGAAGGGTCATTTCTTTGCTGTCATTATTGGGCCCCCAGATCTGTGATTTTATAGGAAGTAGCAAGTAGAGCGGGTGTTAAAGTCCAAGATTTTTTAAAGGGGAAGTGGTTGAGGTATGAGAGTCAACACGTACGGAGAGCAAATACCTTAGAAATAAACCAAATATAGAATATTGTTGAATGTCTTATTCGAGAGATGAACTTCAAGGTTCTTTTCAGTGATAATTAACAATATTCAATGTCTGATGGAAGTGGTTGGTGGATACACTGGATAGCCCCAGTTTAATTAATCTTTCCTTACACTCGGTGATAGACCTTTACAGACAGTCCTGCAGCCACTACCAGATCACCACCTGATGTGAATGTGATGCCACGTGGAGAACCACATCCCTCGATCACACATCCAATGTACTTGCCATCAGGACTATAATGCAGAATAAAACCTGTTGAATATCCACCCACAGCAACATAGATGCTGCCATCACTGTCACAGCACACACCAGTAGGGTGCCAATCCCCCTGCATGTTGCTGGTCAGTTCTACTGAGAATACACTGGCACCATAGTAGTCTGCACAAACCAACTTTTTGTTCTGAAATGTTGTGTAGAAAAGGCGGTGATTGTACATTGCCAGATAACCTCCAACCATTGGAGCAGGCAGTCTCCTGATGAGGGATCCATCTGGGTTGTGTAGAGATATCTCCTCCTCATCTTCATAACCCACTGCTATCAGATTGCTGTCATCCACTGCAAGGCATGTTGGTTGGCTGTCTGACCCTCTACCTGGTGTGAACTGATGGAGGAGCTGATGTTGCCTGTTGAAGACCTTGACTACTGGACCATCTAGAGCAAGGAGCTTGTCATCTTTACTCACTGCAGTACACCTTACATCATCAGTGAGGCCATTGATTTGTAGCCTTTGTGGGATAGGAGATGGTGTATGTTGACTATTGGTCAGTGATACTGTGAATAGTGTATTTTTCAAATTGGTTAATACTATGTTATTGTCAGAGAGTGCTGACACATGTCGTAGCCGTGTATTTCCTAATTCAAAGTTCTTGATATCAGTCTTCAGTTCCCATTTCTCCTTCACACATGATCTTGCAGGTCTTGGTGATTGCTTTGCTGCAGCCTTTGGCTCTTCTTTCAGAATGAGTCTCCCAAGTGACCTCTCACCTTCTTCAAAGTCCATGAAGGTCAACTTGTCAGGAACCTGCTGTGGCTGTTTCCCTGTCAATTCACTGAGGTTATGCACGAGTTTCTGCTGAAGTTCAAGAATCTCATAGCAACTTGCTTGATTCATGAGTTGTTTCACCTCCTTCAGCTTGTGCTTTGTCTGGGTCACATCTTTGCTGTTATTGGATTGAGCTGCATCAAATGTTGTTACTCTTTTTTGATAAATCCTGTCAGTCTCTTTTAACAGTTTCTGCTCCTCCTGTCGGATCTTGGCAACCTCTTGGTCAGCTTTCTCTGTGATTTTCTTTCTGGTGTTTGCAAACATGGTATTGAGTTTCTTACGAGATTTGCAAGTCTTCTCAATGGTGTTGTTCAGGTTTGTTTTATTCTTACCAACTCTTGCAACAAGTTCTTTAACTTTTTTCTTACATTTCTCAAAAGCCACAGGTAGTCCAATGAGGGAGTGTTTTGCATGGTCAAGTACCGAGCAAGTTGTACATATGACTTGCTGACATGTGTTGCAGTAGACATTGAGATTCTGATCTGGATGCTTACCACATTTGGGAACTTCTTCTCTTAGTTTACTCTTGTAGACAATCTCTCCTGATCGAAGTTGGGCCAGTGTATATATTTTGTGAGATTTCACGACAGCAATACGTCCATGTGCCTTATGACATTTTTTACAGAGGAAATGATCACAGTCCATGCATCTTGAAATAGCCTGATTCTCCTCATCACAGTTTTGACATTTGATGTCTGAGCCTTGACCTTCCAGTAGCTTTTCCTGCATTGTAACTTCCTCCACCAGGGCACTGAATGCAAAGTTATTAGGGAGATCAGCAACCCCAGACCCTTCCAACATGGTGTCACGTCTGCACAGAGGACATGTCAGCTTTGTACCACTAGGATCTTGGCTCTGTCTGAGCTCTTGGAGGCATTGCAGGCAAAAACTATGCAAACAGTCCAGCAGTTTGGGCTGCCTGAAACGGTTGGAGCAGATGGAGCATTCCAGATGATCCACATTAATCTTCTCCAACACTGATTGAGCTGTAACATTAGATGCCATCTTGGTCCTTCAGTTCAGCATGTATTGTTAATATTCTTGGACCTGTTAATTAGAAGAACAAGGTGACCTGCATCTTAAATCATGAATCATTAGTTCTTCTGTGGTTTGGTCAAATGGGTTATTTTTCTTTTTTCTTTTTTTTATTGTACATTTTGTTTTACAGACGCACTGTTCGATTTCTAAAACATAAATGGGTGCACCTGTAAACAAAAAAAGCAAAATCTAAAGGAACTGAAATTTGAAATAATTTTCCCCCAAAAAAATCCTCCAAAGGCACAAATGTTTGCGAAGAAAAAGTTTATTATTGCATGGTGTACCTTTCTCATATTAAAAAAAAGAAAGTAAAAAATGAAGTAAAAAAAATAAAGAGGAAAAATTAGGCAAAAGTTGCCAGGTCATGAGCAGGCTGAATGCACAATATGCTCTACACCAAGGCACAAGCACGCTGCCACTAACCATTCAGTCAATATACTTTTTCTATATTGAATATTTGGTTTTGCCCTTCACCAAAGTATTTTTATACTTTTTATGAAGTTGCATTCACGTAAACATTCGTGTAAGCAAAGTTTCGTACCATAGTGCTTGCCATGAGCATTGCCCATGCGTTTGCAGCATCTCAACAAAACCCAGTTGATGTATGGCCAGAGAAACTGACACTTCTCTGGCTGTGTTGTGATACGGTAAATTTCATGCTTTTATTTGTTCCAACACTGCCACTGCAATAATCACAAGTACGGAGAAAATATAAAATTAAAAAGTGGCTAAACATCTCAATTTTATCTTGTTCAATTTGGCCTACAAAATAAAAAAGGCAGCAGAAAAGAAAAAGAGTGTGGCCTTAATGAAATTGTTGCTTTTCTAATACATGAAAAAAAAACACCCAAAAACGTCTAATCCAATGATAGTTGATAGAATGCATTAACTCATTTTTCCCCATTTGGTGAAGTCATGATTTTCTTCAGACTGGTTAAACAAACTGCTCATGGTGCATCAGAGAAGGAAACTGAAGTACAAATTTCTAGTCAAATGTCTGCACAGATTCCTATGGGGTTATTGTGGTTACATTTGTCAAGCTTAGTCTCAACTAAACATACCTGAATGATGTCAGAAGATATTTCTGCAAGCAATTTGGCTGTTTGATGAAGAAACTGGTGGACTATTTGGTGGATTCTCACTCTCTGGATTGACTTGAATATCTGTAGGGTGTAGCATTGCTCACTGCCTGTAAATTCCCAATTCTATAAATACACCAGACTGCAATGGATCACAGGTCACACAGTTGAACTTGTATTGCCTAGTCAACAGGTCTTGTTATTTTCTGAACCCCTTCAAAGCCAGTTTCTGGTAACAATAGATTTACCAAGGGCCTGTTCCAGTTGCTGTGTTACACTGAAGTGGAAATATTCAACACATGTAATATGTTGAACTGTAGGTCTATGTACATGTTTGTACATTTGTATGAAATATCTGTAGCAAAGGAAATATATGCCAATGTATGCATGACACTCACTAGATTACAGTACAAGATATAGAACATTATAAGTTAGTTATTCCATGGTTATTCCTGTCAGTCCCATTTGGAAATCTTGAAACCTAAATACAGCATTGTATGGTATCTTATACTCATAATATTCCTTTTCACATTTCCAAAGGAATTTTCATGAGTATTTGAAGACTGTAAACAGTGTCTATACTGTGCATGAATAATTACAATTGAGACATTTGATATGGGATCACAATATAAGATATTTGTGATGACTTGGGTTAAGTTTTTCAAAAATGCTTTTAAAGTAACAGATTTTCCCAAAGAATCATTGTTTCTTTTGGTGTCGACCTTGCAAAGAAAACAAAAACAAAAACGTAAATAATCCTTTTAAAGGTTTCTCGCATCGAAAGTGAGTTCATTATGGGTGATGTGTGTACTGCACATCGACTGCAAAATGCAGCCTGTGCCCCAGTGTGTAATGTGATGGCCATACATGTACATGTACATAGCACCCGAGGCAATTTGCAGCCCCTGGGTGTTAAAAACGTCATATCCCACACAGCGGCCTATCCAGCTTTTGATGTCAGGGGGGCAACCGCGAAAACCAAAAGGGGGTCGGGGGGGGGGGGGTCAGGCTGGTACTCATTTTCCAAATGGGGGCTTTTTCAAAAGTGACCATTATTATGCATACTGGAAAATATATGCCGATTTTCACAGATCAATGTAATGGTTTCGGAGCTTGGTTTCTTTTTTTCCTGTCAGAACTCTCTAACCATTTATGGAAATAGTTACTGAAAAAATATCTTTCAAAAAAGCTGCTGGGGACAAGGTGCCCCCCCCCATCCCCTGCCCTGCCCCATCCCCTGCCCCCTCCCCTCCCCTCTGGATACACCACTGATCCCACATCACATTAGTCAACAATTGTCAATTGTAATTGAAGTCCGAGCTAGAAAGAGAAAAAGTATTGTAACATGTGTTGTCAATTTGTTTACTTTAAACTTCAGGTGCTAAATGAAATGTCAGTGGCAGTCAACTGTGAGGAAGCCAAGAAACCTGTCTGCAAAAACAAGAACAGATTCCCCAATGTACTTCCATGTACAGGTAAGTTCATTTTGTAGAAATTAGTATCAGTTTAAATAGACCGTCAAGTTGAAAAGTGGCCTCTTGAGGCAAACACTTGTTGGCACACTCGCACAGCATTGTGGATTGTTCTTAATTGTAGGGGGAGGAAGCTAAGGTAGTCCATGGAATATCCCTGTACACAGCAAGGGTCTATGATATGCCAGCAGATGCGGCGATTAATTAATGCAAAACAAGACTGCGTATTGACCTCTATATTCTGACCATTCAGCAGGCGCCTTCTATATCGGGTCTTCGGTAACCCATTGTCATGTGCATCTAATAAAACCTAAACACGATATATAATGTGCTTTTACGTTGTAAATTATGGTTGCGGACTGTATGGATATGTTACACAATTCCCGAACATCCTGTGACTTTGATTTGTCATCATATAGTATTTCGAAGACGTAATGAGAATGCCCTCTTGCGCATTCACGTTTCACCCACGGTGAGAGTTCCTGTATGTTAACAGTTTTGAAAGCCAGTGTCGAGTTTTATTGGATCTCTATGCCCATTGTTGTATTACAAAACATGACATCAAAATTGAACAATCAACAGCTTAGTCCAGATTTCGGAATGAAATGATGTCACGTCGACTCATGGCTTGTGCATGGGGTCAAATAAATTTGCATGCGAAATTATATCACTCACTGGACCAGAGACAGAGAGGGTGATACAATGGGTGATACTCAAGACTAGTGTGAAGGCTTCATTCCTACTAAACCATTTTGTATTCCAATTTATGCAGAAAAGAGTGGACTGCAACATTAGGCAATTAAAGGGGGTTGATACCATTCACATCTTTTATTGGTTCGTAACTAGTTTAATTGTAACTATGAAAGGGACTGTTAAACCTGATATGATGTTAGAATTCTTATTTCTGTGTACCTTTCATTGGCGTAACTATGGGGCATGTGTCTCCCCCTACCACTCCATTTGAAATCTTGAATTGCACACAACAAATGTATATGTTACCTTCCTTGCCCCCCCCCCCCCCCAAAAAAAAATTTGGTGAACCCCCAGGTGCCCCCTAGAAGCTTAACCCTAGTTACGCCGCTGGTACCTTTAGAAAGTTCCAGATCACGTACGTTTCACTCCCATAAAGTGTGTGATATTGATAATTTATCTATAGTTGCAGGGGGAACTTGACTGCGCCCTCAGCAACCATACTATGTCGGCCCTGGCATCTAGGGGCTTCCTCTTGCTAGATGTCAGGTGTCTTGTTAACTGTTTGACATGCGTAATGTAAAGAAATATTTACTTTAAACATTTTGTTTTGTATATAGCATGCCCTACAAATGCTATTTCGGGTAAAAAATTCCAAGTGGTAGTTTTTCCCTTGTCACAAGCGGTTGCTAAAGTACCAAAAAAATTCTGAGTTTGTCTTGTTCATGACATGTGAAGTTTTCACAGGCAATAAAATACTTAACATGAAACCCCATAAGGCAATCTTTAACATACAATCGATTTCTTTTCGCTTCATTTTTTTGTTTTGACAAAAATGAGCACTTTTAAAAGCTGACCAAACAGTATTGTTTCAATGTTTATTTTTTTGCTTGCGATATGTGGTACCAGACATCAACAAGCCTGACTAATTTTCTAAGATCATAGTTACATACTCAATATATTTTGAGAGCATTTGGACAATATTCAAATGCAGTCAATCAGGAGATAAAAAAAATCAAGAGAAAATGTGTTCACAAATCTGATTACTTGATAATCCCCTCTACCATTATGTACAAGTATAAATGTTGGGGAAACCACTGATGTTATGTTTTTGTCAAAAACAACATGGTCCTAAATGTAAAAAACGAAAACTGAGAAAAGACGGTTGTTCTCAGAAAAAGTTTTTTAAAATGTCTTCGACAAAATATACAGTAAATGAACTAACTAGTGATACAATAACAACGGCTTCCAAATTAAGTGATCTATAAATGATAAAATACAAATATATCTTTTTGAGTTGCATCATTGGTGTAAAACAGGCAGCCCTCATTATGTATGCAAATAACACTAGGAGCAGAGTTGTAACAGGCCCAGTGGAAAATGCGGCTTAAACGTATGTGAGATGCTGATTGGTAAAATAACAGACTTTGGATCTTTGCTGAAATGCCATTGTTGTCATGGAAGCTGCGTTCTCTTGGAGAGAGATTCTGTAATTAAAGCAAATGCTCAGTGCTTCATTTAGACGACTTGGTCTATCAGCATTTAGCAAACCAATACTTATTCGAAAAAGCAAAAGCTTTGATCAATTATGGAAGAAACTGAACTATTATTGTAATGATACAGAACAAGTAGATCATTCTATACATATAGGGTCCAAAGTCGGACATTTTCCTGTCCCTGCAACCTCTGCAATGTATAATTTGTAATTCAAGTCGCATGAAAAATTACTTTAAACTAATTAATATTTGTTGAGACTAGTCTCGAGACCAGTACTTTGGTAGAGACCTCCAACAATGTCTTCTAA